AAAGCAAAGTTTCGTCAAGAGCTGGGATCATGCAGTCAGGCTGCCCTCATAGTTTTCTTTAGTCAATTATCCATTTTGATGATGTTCTCGTCTCTCTGCTGCAAATGTTCCATCGAAACAAGTCCATCGTCACTATTTTACATGAACACTGTCACTGCATGCTGGATTCAGCTCCGCCCAAGAGGACTGTGATGGTCTGAAGGAGCACAAGCAAGGCACAGAGTTATTCTCTCTGTAGCAGAATGATGCTGAGCTGCAGAATGATCTATGTGAAACCAAGGAGTTGTAAACACATCTCGAGGATAAATAAAGCCAATAAGATCCACCAGAAGCACGACTGGCTCTCCACAGCAAAGACCGCCAGTATTTTTGGTTTAGATTTTAATACATTTATAAGACAAACTAACTACACTTTGCCATCATTGGTTACTGAGTGTAGACTAGAGGGCTGTGGAGGGCAGCGAACCGCCAACCTTTGATCAGAGGACCACCGCTCTACACCTGAGCCGCCGCCGCCGCCCTGTCAGACCAAGGATTCATTCGATCACATCCAGGTTATACGGTGTCATGAAACATGCATCAGGTTCTGAATGCATGGAGGAGGTCTGGAGGATGCTCCGGGGTGTGAACCCGTCAAAGGCTGCTGGTCCTGATGGTGTCCAGGGGAGGGTACTGAGGGGCTGTGCAGACCAGCTGGCAGAGGTTTTTACTACCATGTTAACCTCTCACTGGCTGCCTGCACAGTCCCCAGCTGCCTACAATGTGCCACCATCGTGCCCATCCCCAAGAGACAGTCGGTCAGCAGTCTGAATGGCTACAGACCTGTGGCTCTCACTTCACCTGTAACGAAGTGCTCTGAGAGGCTGGTGCTGGGGCACATAAAATCCTTCCTGCCTCCCAGCCTTGATCAGCACCAACTGGCATCCAGAGCCAACAAGTCCACAGGTGATGCCATCAACACAGCCCTCCACACAGTGAGTCAACATCTTGCACACTCTGGCAGTTATGTGAGGATGTTGTTTGTGGACTTCAGTTCTGCTTCTAACACGCTTGTTCCAAGCAGACTGATGTTCAAACTGCAGTCTGGGAACCAGCGAGCACACCTGCACATGGATCAGAGACGTTCTCACCAGCCGTCTGCAGTCAGTC